AGGGAAGTCATCTTGGTGACCTTGGGCCAGTCATTTGCTCACAATTCTAATCATCTTTAGGCTCTGCAACAAGCCAGCTGATGAACGAAATCCTTTGTGCATCATGCACTGATAGCTTCACTGTAAGAGCCAAGTAAGTGTGGTACAAAAGCAGGCTCTGCAGCCATGTAAGACAAACTATTACGAATAACAAGTGTGATGTTGTGGGTATAACCTAGAAAAAGAGTAGAAACTAGTGTTGAAATAGGAAGCGTATTGTCTGTGTTCTACATGTTGGAAGGCATTGTTTCCTGTCATCTATATCTATATAGCTATCTATATATCTCTGTATCTGTATCTACTGCTAAAATTCTCACTGTCCTGATCTTTAACTGGGAAAAATGGTACCTCATAGGGCAATTATTTTTTTATTTTTTTGAGCTGCGGTGGCACAGTGGTTAGAGTGCAGTACTGCAAGCTACTTCTGCTAATCACTGGCTGCCAGCAGTTTGGCAGATAGAATCTCACCAAGCCTTCTGTCCTTCCGAGATGGGTAAAATGAGGACCCAGATTGTTGGGGGAAATAGGCTGACTCTGTAAACTGCTTAGAGAGGGCTGTAAAAGCACTGTGAAGCGGTATATAAGTCTAAATGATATTGCTATTAATCAGGTTGCCTCAAATCCAATCTTACAATCTTACAGAATGTCTCCAAAATCTGGGACCCATGACTCCTGAGGGAATGAAATTTGGGGAAATGGTGCTGCTTCAGTGCTACTGGCTGCTACTGCACTGCTGGGCTGCTGCTGTGTCCACAAGAATCTCATTTTTATTGTTCTGTGACAGTTTCCCAGTCAATCCCAGGGGAGGGGAGGGGGGAAGGAGGGAGGGAGGGAGGGAGGGAGGGAAGGAAGGAAGGAAGGAAGGAAGGAAGGAAGGAAGGAAGGAAGGAAGGAAGGAAGGAAGATTTCAGACATTCTCTGCCAGCTTTGTCAGTATATAAGGGTTCATGAATTGGAATAGACATAGTAACAAATCAGCCAATAGGGACTGTTTGGTGACCCAGACGGCTCGGAGCTGTGATTCTATACCTTCTGTGATTATTGATTCTGTACTTCTGGATTCTGAGTTCTGGTTCTGGCTTCTGCTGTATGGTATTGTATATAAAGAAGTTTCTTATATAAATGAATCCTGCTGAATTATTTACTTGTGTGCTGGTTGGATTGCTGCAAACTCTAACAAGCTTCTCATAAGAAAACTCAATAGGAAGCCAACAGGAAGTCATAATTTGTTCCCTGTCCCATTGCTTTTTTTGGGGGGGGGCACTCCTGGTCATTCTTTAGGTAAAGAAATATCTCTGAAATGATGACCAAACCGCACTGGTTATCTAGTAATACAACTGGCTCCTTGAACATGGTCATGATCTGTGAGGGAACACATAGATTGTGTTGTTTTTTATGAAATAAGATGCAGCCCATCTGAAATGTATTCCCCATTCATTAGTCTTTTAAGAAGTTAATTCTCTGTCCATGTAACCTTAAAGTTCCCAAGGACCCTACCTCTTTGCAGGATAAAAGACAGTGCTGGTAAGAAATGGCCTGGAAAACATGTTCTTAGCAGCCCACTGCCTTTCCTTGGTTTCCAGGAGAAGAAAAGCATATCTATTCAATCTAACTCATTTCTCTCACACTTTATACGTGTGGTCCATAATCCCAAGGATTTAAATAGGCTGGAAAATGCAGTTCTTGACATGTTTTAAATACAATTTCCTGCATACCCTGGAATCTCCAAAGTGGGTTACAATCCTTGCAGAAGAATGCAGAAGAACATCCTTTTTCTAATAGGACAGTGAGAATTTCAGGGCCACTGATGATGCCCTTGGAGCCGTGATGGTGCCGAGTGAGCTGCAAAGGACAGCACGCTACCACTGCAGCTTCAGTCTCACTCTATTCTTGTCAGTAGAATACAAACTCTGAGTGCCCTTTAATTACCCCTTTTGATAGAATAGAGCATTATATTTAGACAGCATTGCTGCTCTCTGAATTGCTGGTCCCTTTATGAATTTTATCAGCTGCTGGCTATCCTAGCAAAGAAGAGAAATTAGAACACGGCTTTCTATGCAAATAGTTTCTAAATACTGCATATTTAATGGCATGCAGTTCTTCTTTGGAATTATGAATTCAGTCCCTAATATTTCATTGCCTGTTTAGATGTTCTGGGTAAAAGGAAGGGCAGTGTCTAAGATCTCCACTGTTAGTACACATTCTTCCTTAAGGACTAAGAATATGTTCCATGCTTCTCATACTGTATATTCAAAGAATCATAATTAGGAGGAGGAATATTATAAACTACTCATATGACCTTTGGAAATGTAGTCCTTGAATTCAGCATATTTGTAATGAGATAGGGAAAGATTTAGGAGTCTTCCTGGAATTACAACTCCTGGTAAAGGACATGCACAAGGGTCATTTTGTCCAGCTTCGGCTGCTTTGCCAGTTGTAATCTGAGCTGGATGAGAAGGCTCTGATGATTGTGAAGTGCCCTGATCACAAATAGACTACATCCCTGTAACACTATTTGGAATTTCCACTAGTGGGTGAAAACAACTACAACGAATGGACACTGTATCAAAGTTCCAACAGGCTTCGAGGTACAAGTCAAAATATTGATTTTAACATATGTGGTAGAGCTTCCAGGTTTCTCTAGGATGGCTTCCTCCTTATGGGGCCAATCCATTCATCGTTTTCATGCCCAGTGAGGATTTTTTTTCTCATAAATGTGAAGGTGGAAAATTACAATAGTGTTTCTTCTTGCCTGCTCTCACCTTGATGAAATGCTTCTCAGAGACAGAGTTGGAATTCACTAGTGGGACATCAAAACAGAACTTTTTCAAAAGGTCTTCAAGGTTCCCATGTTGGCTTCTTAGCGATTAGTTTATGTTACTGTTTTCTCTTTGTAATTTAGTGGATATAGTTGCATCTGCTTATAAATCACTGTGAGTCAGTCTGATTCATCAATACACAAACATAATAAATAAAATAAACAAGTCAAAGGCTTTTGCAAATCTTTGAACATTAACACAGTCCTCTCTCAATTTAAATGTTGGAAGAGTATGTATTAAAATACAAATATTTTTAAATACCATTATATAAAATACATATTTCAATATGAATTCTGAAGTAGATTTTTTCAAAAAGATATATGAATGATGTGGAAACATCATAGAGCAGAATTATGAAAAAAAAGAGAGATGGCATGAAATGGAAGTAGAATCATCTGTTCATAGGACAGCTCTCCAAAGAGAGGAAAGAATTATTAATAGCATTTTTATCACCATTGTTCAGGCTCAGAAAAGAAGTTATTGGTTTTGGTTTTAAGCTAGTCCCATCGCAACCTGCTCTCATTCTTGCTGCAGTTTTAAAAAAGGCAAACGATGAGTGAAAGCTGGCCTTCTGGGAGTAAAGACAAAATTTGTTCATTTTATTTTAAACAGCCCATTCATTTTTTTACTTTAATTATGTAGATCGTACACATGGATTAACAATGGTATGTCTTTGAATTTAGTTGCAGCATGCCAATTATTTTGTATGCTTTTATTTAGTAATTTCCCTCTGTTCTATGCGATTTCTTAAGCCATCCGAGTTCATCTGTATAGATATGTCGCCATAATGTGGCTTCTTTCTATCATGCCATGTTTTGTGTATCTAGCTATTGTGGTTTGCAAATCATTTATATATTTAAACATTTTCTATGTGGCTTTCCAGAACAGGATAGGACAGGACAGGACAGGACAGGACAGGATAAGATAGGATAAGATAATTTTTATTGACCAAGTGTGATTGGACACTCAAGGAATTTGTCTCCAATGCATAAGCTCTCAGTGTACATGCAAGCAACAAGTGATAAATCATGATCATAAAATATAATAATCATAAATCATAAAGTACAATACTCAGTGATAGTCATAGGATACTAAATAAAAGCAATCAACATAAATCATTAAAATCTTGTTTACACTTAAGAAGTAGATTTTCACTTAAAAATAATAGATTACAACAAAATAGCTTCTAAACCCAGAATAGCCTTTCTGGTCTACGGGAACCTTAGTTCAGCCATCTCTCTCAATGCATTGCTACCAAGCATTTTTCTTTTGGAACTGATCATACTGTTCATACAGCTACTGAGTCAATAGGCATCTTTCATGGCAAGCAGGCTCTCAAAAGCTCTGGTGTTTCTACTGATACATATCCAAATGACATATATACATAATACAGATCAAAAGAAATATGGAGTGTCCCTGGCTTAGTATGATGAGCTATTCAACAGACTATAAAAAGCCAGATGGAAAAGTGGTGGAGTTGCAGCTGCCCCTGGGGAATCTCCTGCCAGGCATATGTCCCAGCATTGTTCCTTCACCCTATCAATAAAATCCAATCATAAACTCAGCCCTAGCACTATCAGCCTGCCTCAAAAGAATCACCCAAAGTTTTGTGATAATTCCCCAGGGACCCATGGTCCTATATGATATTTGGAGCCAACCAGGGGTGAAATCCAGCAGGTTCTGACAGGTTCTGGAGAACCGGTAGCGGAAATTTTGACCAGTTCAGAGAACTGGTAGAGGAAATTTTGAGTAGTTCAGAGAACCGGCAAATACCACCTCTGGCTGGCCCCAGAGTGGGGTGGGAATGGAGATTTTGCAATATCCTACCCCCAGGAGTGGGGAGGGAATGGGGATTTTGCAATATCCTTTCCCCAGGAGTGGGGAGGGAATGGGGATTTTGCAGTATCCTTCCCCTGGAATGGGGTGGGAATGGAGATTTTGCAGTATCCTTCCTCTGCCACGCCCACCAAGCCATGCTCTCTAAGCCACAACATGCCCATTAAGCCACGCCCACAGAACCGGTAGTAAAAAAAATTTGGATTTCACCACTGGCGTCAACTAATATTTAGGAATCCTATCATGGTGAAAAATCTTCCTGGATTCTGCACTGTATTTATCACACCTATTTCTTTTAATCTACAGGAGGAAGATATTGAATACTATGACTCCAAGGCTGATACAGAATATGTAAGTATCTGCTAGTTGCATTTCTTTTGTTTTACACAGTAAATGGATTCTATATTAATTTCTGTAGGGTTTTCTTTGCTACAGTTGTTCAAACCTTACGTTCATTTAATGGGCTTAAGATGGTGAAAAGTAAATTGTGGAGCTGCAAACCTGCAGCTCTTCTTCTTCAATTGGTAATGGAAAGGAAGTTGTAAACATTTAACTACATTTCAACAAGGAGAAATTTCAAAGAACAGAAGTAGGGCAAAACATTGCTCATCAGTCTTGGTGATTTCAGGTAGGTGCGTTGGAAAAGGGAACAAGAATATATATGTGTGTAAGTTTTGTTACATTTTGAAATGGATTCACAGTTTTATTTCATGGTTTAAATTCTCATTGCTTCCTTGCTTGGTTAGTTGAGGTTTTTTATTTTGTTGGTTTTGGTTTTGATTTTTTTGTTGCTCTCCCTCTATTCTTCAGCTCAGAAGTGCTAAAATCTTCCCATGTAGTCTTAGCAAATATCATAACAATAAATTTATTTACCGGGATAAGGAATGCTGAAATAAGACAAATTTATGCATAGGATACATAGTGAAACCTTAAGAAAAGAAACGGTGCAGAGTGAGAAGACAAGTTTTAGATGCTAAAACAAAACCATCTATCATTGAGAGCTGATTGAAAATATATACTGTCATTGTTGCTTACATCAAATACTGAATTCACACTGAAATCCTGTATCTGGGAATAAATCCAGCAGACCCTAAAGAGACTTGCTTTTAACAATAAAAGTATAAATTTACACTATGAAGCTCCAAAAGTTTTATATTTATATGAGATCATGTATATAAAACTGCTAACTTGCAGTTACCAAAAAATACCCCACTTCTTTCTTTGTAATTAAAATATAAATTCAGAAGCTAGTGACTACTTGTCCATTCATTACCATAAGCTAGATATATCTGCTTTCTATCTCCTTAAGTGCTAAAGAGATACTGTGGCAATATGTTTGGTCTCCGGCAAATGTTTGTCATGTGATTGTCTCATCTACCCTCTCTTCTCTCATTAAGCTACCCAAAAGTGATATCTATCAAAAAGAAGATGGATCTTCGAGGAGTCTTTACTGCTCTCCGAGCTTGGTGGTTTTCTTGCAGATGTTTCATTACCCAAGCTGGGCAACATCATCAATCCTGATGATGTTACCTAGTTTGGGGTAATGAAACATCTGCAAGAAAACCACCAAGTTCAGAGAGCAGCAAGGACTTCTTATTTCAACCGTGAGCTACGAATATTCTCCTTTATTAGATGGATCTTTATACAAGTGGTTGATTAATTAGATCTTTTCACAAAGCTTGCATCAGGTTACATTTCCTGGGATACAGTGAAGCTACAATGATATATTACGAACAGTTACAGAATGACAGTGTTGAAGGAACCTTGGAGGTCTTCCAGTCCAACCTCCTGCTCAAACAATAAATCCTATACCATTTCAGACAAATCGTTGTCTAATCTCTTCTCAAAATAAATCTTATTTAGATCCAGTCTTGTGTGTGTGTGTGTGTGTGTGTGTGCGTGCGTGTGTGTGTGCGTGCGTGCGCGCGCGCGCTTTATAGTTAGTGTTGACTCCTGTCCACCACCTGGATTAGTCCCTGCAATTTTCTTGGCAAGTTTTTGGAAAGTTATTTGCCATTACCTGCTTTCTAGAGCTGAGAGCAAATGACTGGTTTAAGGTCACCCAACTGCTTTGTGCCCAAGGCAGGACTAGAACTCAGAGTCTCCAATTTCCAGCCTGATGCCTTAACCATTACACATTTACATAATAATATATAATAATGAGCTGCCCGTTGTTATGTGTTCTTGGCAGTTTAGATATACTTCCTTTATTTATTTACATTTCCTTTATTTACAGGGAGATTCTAAAACAGCATTCCCAGACTGGGGAATTTTTAGATATGAAAGATTTCAAATATCAGAATTTTCAATAATGGCCAACCTAACTGAGGAATCCTAGGAACTGAAGTCTGTGTACTTACTTGAGGGTACTCAAGGAAGATGTCCCTAAAATTGAGAGGTGGCTCTAAAAGTTTTGGTTCTAAGTGCTGAGATAATGGTTGGCCCCACTCCATGTTCACTTCATAATACCGACAAGCTATCAAACAAAGACTGAAGAAGCCAGGTGCACTTTACTAGAGAAAGTCATTTTGCTTCCTGGGTAAATTTCTAAAATTAAAGCTAGCATCTGAAATTCAAATGAAGAGCAAACATCTAATTAGAGACAGAATCTAATTCTCTACCCTCCTCCCGGCACAGCCATCCTGTAATTCTGGCAATCAGAATGTTAAGTATAAACTAGAGAGCTTCAGTTCCCCAAGGAAATAGGCCTTTGCTAGTTACTACGTGCAATATGAACACTTGGAGAGAATGCTGCTCAAAATTACTCCCAAGTATCCACTCCTGGCTTAACTCACTCCAGAACTGACTGCATTTGATTGGCTATGGAGTGCTTTTGGAATAGTTCAAATCTTCAGGGCAGAGAAAAAAAGAACTCGTATGCAAAAGCAAAAACAGAGGTTGTCCATTGCCAGCTTGGTGGGAAGATGCAAATCACTGATCTCTCCATTGAGAAAGCTGCTATCCTTAAGCTTCACAATGTTAGTGGAAAACTAACAGGGAATTCCTACAGTTTGCAGACTGGCCTATAGAAGTAACATTATTCATCCAGTTATATGTCATGATTGAGTTGGTATCAGTTCTTCGTGTACAATGGATGCCTTCCAAGATTTGTTTCATTTATGTTTTTATAAATGAAAAATGTGGAATCCTAGACAGTAGGAATCCAAAAATGTGGAATCCTAGACAGTAAAGAAAAGTTTATAGAAAATATAGTTGCAAAAATTGAGGTCACACTATAACCAGAGGAACATTATAGCAAGAGAGAAGAGACCAATATTCTACATGTCCAATTTGGTAATTATAGACAAGGAACAGGTTTGTACACCAACTCAAACACAGACTGAAATTTGAAGGATCAGTCCATTTTCTTAGGAGAACAATGAAGCTAGAGGGCTATAAAACAGAATCATATGTTCTCAGATGTCTTCTAAAAAGAGTCCTAGCTGATAACTGCAGCAGTATAGAAGGTTAATGCTAAAGCTACTGTTATGGGCTAAATAACACCAGGTCTACCCCAAATTAAGGGATTATAGGGTCATAAAAAGGGGTCAGATAAGTTTTATACTGGAGTTGGATGTTGTCTCAAAACTGATTTACAGGAATGCCTACAGAAGTTAATTATTAGGTTTATTTCACAAACATAAATATAAGGAGGGTGAAAGGAGGATGGGGAAGAGACAAGGCAATCTTTTATCTAAACTCATTATTCAGTTCCTAAAATTTGACCAAGACTCTTCCCCACTACTACCACCACCACAATTTTTACCGTTCCTTTATTAAAAACTCTTCGTGTACAATGGATGCCTTCCAAGATTTGTTTCATTTATGTTTTTATAAATGAAAAATGTGGAATCCTAGACAGTAGGAATCCAAAAATGTGGAATCCTAGACAGTAAAGAAAAGTTTATAGAAAATATAGTTGCAAAAATTGAGGTCACACTATAACCAGAGGAACATTATAGCAAGAGAGAAGAGACCAATATTCTACATGTCCAATTTGGTAATTATAGACAAGGAACAGGTTTGTACACCAACTCAAACACAGACTGAAATTTGAAGGATCAGTCCATTTTCTTAGGAGAACAATGAAGCTAGAGGGCTATAAAACAGAATCATATGTTCTCAGATGTCTTCTAAAAAGAGTCCTAGCTGATAACTGCAGCAGTATAGAAGGTTAATGCTAAAGCTACTGTTATGGGCTAAATAACACCAGGTCTACCCCAAATTAAGGGATTATAGGGTCATAAAAAGGGGGTCAGATAAGTTTTATACTGGAGTTGGATGTTGTCTCAAAACTGATTTACAGGAATGCCTACAGAAGTTAATTATTAGGTTTATTTCACAAACATAAATATAAGGAGGGTGAAAGGAGGATGGGGAAGAGACAAGGCAATCTTTTATCTAAACTCATTATTCAGTTCCTAAAATTTGACCAAGACTCTTCCCCAACTACTACCACCACCACAATTTTTACCGTTCCTTTTATTAAAAACTCACCTGTGCAAGGGAATCTAACACTATCTTCTAAGTAAGAAACCTCTTTCCTCTGAAAACAATCTCATCTTCTCTGTTCGGTCTCATCCACTTTCTTCATTGTGATTTCCCCCCCCCCCTCATTTGTGTTCATCCTTGCTTGAATTCCTCAGCCAATGACTTTGCCTTTGAATGCAAAACCTGTAGCATGCCAGACCAGAGCTGTTACTCCTGCTACTACTGCTGTTAGTCTAATTTGCTTCCCCCATCCCTCTCTCCTTCTATGTTTTCGCACAAAGATGTGCATAATCATTAGCAGTTTAGAACACATGGCAATAAATCTCTATTCTTGGCGTGCCTGTTCCCTTGCTGTTGAAAATTTATGGAGCTATAAAGGGCAAAAATATAAGAGTTCCTAGAGAAACACTGCTTGCAGTTGATCGGTTTAATAATAAATGGATTTCTAAGGTCAGCCAACATTATTGATATAATTTAGGCCTTATTTCCTGTAAAACAGTAGCTACTGTACTCTCCATATCTAGCATCAATCTGCATTTGAACTTCTGTTAGTATTTCCATTTACAAATTAATTCTGTCCCCTCAGCTCCTCTATCAGTGCTAAATAAGGGCTTATTATTATTTTCTGCTGAACATTGGCACAGGCAATGTTGGCACATTTCCCTGATAGCCTTCTAGGTCCTTGGCTGATAAGAGTTCATCTCCTACTATTTTCCCTTAAACCAACATTCATCTAGGAAGCTTATCCATCCCTCCTTTAAACTATAGATTGAAAGATAACATTGATGGAGACCAAATAGTAAATAGTCATGTTTCCTAACATGCTCTACTTCAGAATTCTTCAAACTGTGCCCCTGGGG